TGACAGCCCTGTAGTCAATCACACCAGCTAGAAATCTCTTCCTAGAGCAGCTTTGGAAATGCAGATACCAGAGCTCTGCATGTACTGCCAATTTTTTTCCCCCTTAATATCAAAATAGTAGTATATTTGGTTGAGATTCAATACCAATTTTTAAGTGCTGCTTTTTTCAAACTTGACTTTTTCCCCTATTGTAGATGAACTCATTGTAATGGCTACTGTTGTTAATCAGCCACTCTTAACAGTCCTTTGATATCTACAGAGTGAATTATTTCAGCACTTCCCAGCCCATCAGTTCTATCAGAAAGCAGCAATGGCCATTTTGCTTTTTGCTCCCACACAGATAAAAAGTTCACACAAATAAAAATATCAACATTTTTATTATTAGGAACAACACTAATAATCTTATTACAGTCTGTAAGTCATGTATACAGATTCCTTCACTTTCAAGTCTCAGTTTTTTGTTTGTTTTTTAAGCATCTGAAAACATACAACCTTTTTGCTTTGCAGTTTTTTACTACAGGAGCTTTCAAACCCAGTCTGAGGGGTTTTTTTGGTTTGTTTTTTAAGCATCTGAAAACATACAACCTTTTTGCTTTGCAGTTTTTTACTACAGGATCAGATAAGAAAACTTTTTGATAAGTCAAAACATAATGTCAAAGTGCCAGGAAAATAACCCATTAATACACAAATGAATCCTTTTCTATTACCAGGGACTGCAATAGAATATATTGCTAAGAAAATGCTAAGGAAAAGAATAATACCTTCAGTGCAGTTGCTTTAAGAACTCAATAAAATTTCGAGTGTTTCTTTCACCTTTCATTTTTTATAGATCATTAATAAAGATGGTAGTACATTCATTCCAAAATCTGTGGCCAGATCGTTAGCTATGAGAATGCATTCAACTCTGTTTTCAGCACTTCCACTGACTGAGAATAGGGTCAATATCTGGAGAAAATGGTGGTGGAATTAATGTAGAAAAATATTGTATCTCTGATGAGCAGACAAGGATTGGATGCTGATGCTGCAGGCTACTTAAGGATGTTTAATTGTATTCATGAACTATTTGTAACACAGTGAGCTGCCAAAACCTCAGACATTTCCAACATGGTAATTCTGGAATGGCTGTAGTATATAGGAAAAAACAGATGTCATAATGTGTTTCATCTAGTTTAAAACTTAACATGTAATTAACTTAATAGCTTGACAATAGCTGATGTAGCAACAAATACAACGCAATTAAATTCATACCTCATTATGACATAAAATTCTTCTACATATGCATTACAAAAAACAATGAGATTTTGAGACACTGGTATATTTAATGGTGACTAATTGTCCTTAAAATGCAATTGCATGTAATACTTGCTTTGTATTTCATCACTTGTGAAAATGGTTTTATTTTTGTAACACTGTACTTCCTGTAGTTCTTTCATTACGCCACAAGTGAAAGCTATTCCCTGGTGTATGGTTTCGGATGCTGTATCTAGGTACTTGGACCTCTACATTCATTATGTAATGTTTTCATTTTTCTAATCTTTTTGTATTGCTTGGCTGTTTGTCCAAACTGCTGCAGACAATTATCATGGTTCTTTATAATTTTCTCTGAGTACTTCAAGTGGTCAGTTTTAGGCACACAGCACCATGTTGAGACAGAGTCCTGTTCATGTATTACTTTGAGCTGTCCAAGGGTTTCTCAAGGTATTATTAGAGTTTCTCAATTGTTAGTACTGCAGAATGAAAAAGGATAAGAGTAACACTGAAGCCAAATAATTTTTAAAAAGTAGAGTCCTAAAGAAATACCAACACCAAGCCCAGAGACTTGTTACAGAACGGCAATGCCTGACCTGCAGTTTCTGTGACAGTTTCCTACATGCAGTTTCTGTTCAAAGAAAACAAAAATACATTTTGAGGTTATAGTGATCAAGTTGGATTAAACAGAAAATAAATTTACTTTGAATTACGTAATTGATTTTTCAAGTGACTCAGATCTTCCAACACTACTGTGTTCCTATTAAAGATATTGAAACCTCTTTGAGAGGAGTCTGAAAGGAAAAGGGTTGAACTGTGGCCTAATGAAAGCCCCACTAAAATTTAATGTCACATTCCATTCACTGCAGTAGATGAGGTCCTTGATGCTGACAACAGAGTGGTCCTCTGATTCTGTGGGTATGTACAGCTTGGTTTTTGGTACAGCACAGGGATATTATTAGGAAAGAGGGATCAGTAAAAAGGAATCTGAAACCTGATCTAGTGCTGAGGAATGCCTTTTGAATGTGTCATTTGAACCGAGTTATTACTTCTGGGAGGTGTGAATGTCTTTGCTAAAAACTTGAAATGGATCCTGAAAAGAAGGAAAAAAGTTAGGCAAGCCTTTGTGGAATTAAGAAAACTAGTTTCAAAGAGATAACTATAATTTTGAATCTGTGCATCAAGATTTCAAATAAAACTCACCATGAGTCTGTTGGATATTCCCTGTTTCAGTTTACATTAACATCCATCCATTTACTAGATTTTAAAAACACATTATGACTTTATGTATATATTTAGATCCTGCACATTTAGATGATCTTTTAAGTTCTTGGAATACATATATTCCCTCACAAATTGTACTGTAGCTCTGTTTCTAAAATGCTGAATGGGCAGATTGTTTTTATCAAGCATTTCATATGAACGGTTTATGAACTGTGAACAAGAGAATTGTCTACTGATTGGTTATCATGACTTTCAAAGCTAACTGATACTTAATCCCTGCTCAGGGAAAATCAGGGGATTTTTATTGCACCTACAAGGGAATTTTAGGGAATATTATAAACTGACTGATTTTAAGGAAGTAAGAGGAATGGCTGACAATAAAATGCTTACAAGCTGTGGCTATGTAATACTAAACTGCTGTGCAATTTCTCCTTCAGTAGGTTACTTAAAGGAAAAAATAATGTATTATGAAATGGACACATTTTTAGAAATTTATTGGAGACCCTTTCAGCAGGGATCACAATGAAAAGGGAAATGGTCTACTTGCTGAGGCTGACAGCTAAAGGCACAAGTCCATCAGTCACTCAGTCGTGGTTTAGCATTCTTTTCAACACAGATCATTTAGCCTTCATTTTCCAAACAAGTGCTGTCACCTACAATGCACACCCACATAGTTGTTCTCAGGGTGCAGGTTGTCACACAGAGGCAATAAACAGGGTTCCCACAGAAAACTCCCATCTTTGATAGCACTTCAGAAAGGAAAAACCACTGATTGCAGCTCACATCTCTATCCCTACAGCTTTTTGGAGGAAAAGTTCATTAGCTGCTTTGCATGCCAAGGGACCAGCTGTCCTTCAGCACATGGAGCTACTCTGATTGACCAGGAGGACAAGTGGGAAATAAGCCCACAGCAGCGCCAGCATGGCATATGGTCATGTACCAGCTGTTTCTGAAATGCTTGCCAAATGGAGATCAGAACTGGGTTGGTTGTTAGGAAAATAAAAACCAACAAAAACCAACAAACAAAAAAGTTCCACTGTCGGGATTCCTGAGATCTGACCACAAAACCAGAACTGTCAATTTGAAATGTCATACAGCAACTATGGGAATATTCAGAATAATCTGTCATTGGCCTCCATGCTCTGGCTTGCTCCATTAGGAGAACACCAATGTTCTGAGCATCTGTTCCTTCTACAAACCTTCAGAGAAAAAAAAAATGTTTAAAAAGGGTGAAACAGAGTGGATTTGTATTGATGATATACATTACTAATACATGGAGGATATGTGCAGAGGACTGTATGGAGATTGATTTAAATTGGTGCCAATTGTTACTACAGACAAATCTTATGTGCCTCATATTTTAGTACATCTTATTCTACCTTGAAAAGGGGAATTCAAATTCTGAGCTCCTGAACAAAAGGAGATTTGATAGTGATTGGTGCGAGTTGTGTTAGTGGTGGTGAAATGCTTCTGATAAACCCGGGGAATGACTCAGCAGAAAACAGTCAGCAGGATTTTTCCCCCAAAGCTTTTCAGTTTCAGCTTTTCATAACAAGAAAATAACTTGAACAGTAATTAAATAGTTCAGAGAACAATTCTGTCCTTTCATCACACAGTTTAAAGCACTACTTTCTCTTTAGATTTCTCCCAAAATACTCCTGCAAGGTTTGGAGAAAGTAACTGATTAACTGCACGTTCATACAACATCAATGAGTGCCTCAGTGACATTTAAGAGAATGCTGGTAGTTCATGTAGCTACACAATCTTGCATACTTAACTTTTGGCTAGCCTAAGTCAGATTTATGACAAAATTAGGCGCTAAGGATGTTCAAAATTGGCAAACCCTAGCTAAAACAAAAATAAGAATAATGTTGCTCTGTATCAGGAAATGAATATATAGGCTGGGAGGCAATGTTTGCATGCATGCTTCTTATGAGATGTATTTTTTATACACAGACTTAACTTGTTGAAAGGCCTAAATGGGACCACATCCGGTACTGGGGGATCATGTTTTCAAAGGCAATCTTGGTTCCATTGACTGAAGATGTTGTGCACAAAAGAAGCAGTGTGAGCCAACATGGATGACATACTGCATTTTGGAACTCTAGGAGCCACACGTTGAGCAGTGAACAAAAGGAAGAAAACCTCAGGATTACACACACAGAAGACTTACTCTGACATCTTACATAATATTGACTTTCCTTAGGCCCATACGTGTTCATGTATTTGAGAAATGTGGGGTGGTAGTGTTCACCTGAAAAGGGCATCATTATTTTCCTAATTAAGAAGCTTAACGAGTACTTTGGTGTGTCTTGTCATATTTTCAGCCTTACAGTGGCCCATTTTCACCCATCTACTATGCTAAAAATGTTGCCCTTTCATTACTCCACCATTGTGTAAACAGTTGTGATTAAACTGGCATTTAATCAATTGGAACAAAATCCCCGCGGCTCCCGAGGACCTCACCTACTAAACCCGACTTTCAATGGCAACAATCTCCTAACAGACTACTTCCCTTCCAGACGGGCTTTCATTGCGCAGTAAAATAAACTTTTATTTGTTAACCTCGCTCTCGGAGTCGTTCAGGATTTCAAAAGGCCCTCACATGACAAACACCGCTACGCTCCATCATTATTCCCCGCTCCCTCCCTCGCATTCCTGCGCCGGCCCTGCCCGGCTGTTCCCCTCCCGGCGGCGCGGCGCTCCTGAGGGGCGCGGGTGCTTCCGCCCGCCGGCTCTCCCGCCTCAGCGGCGGCCCCGCGGGCCCGCCCGGGGACTGCCGAGCGCCGGGCCCGCCGCTTCCCTCCTCAGGCGGGCAGCGCGGCGCTCTCCGGGCGGGCGGGAGGCTGTACAACCAGGGCAAAGGACACTTCCCCTGCTCCCCCCGCCCTTCCTGCGCCGCGGCCCCGGCATGAGGGCGGCTCGCCGGCGCCCGGGCCCTGCGGACGACAGAGATAGGGACAGGGATGAGTGCGGGGCAGAGCAAGCGCACCGGTCCCGTCATCCCCCGCCTCCCGCCCATGGGCGCGATGGTCGCTAGCCCCTTCCCACCCGCGCGGCGCAGCCCCACGGCTCTGCGATCGGGGAGCCGGGCCGCCCTCTGGGCGGAGGGATACGGGGCGGAGCCGGCGGCGCGGTCCGCCGGGGCGCTGAGTCCCGTTGCCGGGTGACGGAGCGGCCGGCCCGGCCCCCTCCCTCCCTCCTTCCCTCCCCGTGGCGCTGGAACCGCCGCCGCCGCCGGTTTACGTAACGCCTCCCGGGGCAGGTCCCGGCTCCGTCCCGCCCGCCTCACTCGGGGACGGCAGCAGCGGGACGGAGTCCGCTGCCTCCTCCGGCTGCCAGAGGCCCCAGGGCCCCGCTCTGCGCCACCACGGCAGGTAAATGCCCGCCGCGGGCCCGGGGAGCAGAGGGAGGGGCAGGGCTGAAGGGGGAGAGGGAGAGTGGCAGCCGCCCTGCCCGTGGAACGGGAGGACGGAGCCGGGAGGCGGCGGCGGGCGCCCTTCCCCTCCCCCGCTTCCTTCCCACCGCTGCGATGGGACAGGCGGGCTGGACCCCCGGGAGCGCCGGGCCGGCGGCTCGGGGCCCGGCCGGGAAGGCCCGCGCATCCCTGCCCGCTCCGCTAACAGCCCGGGAAGAGGAGGAGTTGCGGGGCCGGGCCTGCTCCCGCCGGGAGGACGGCTTCCCGGGACGGCGCGTCCCGCTCTCGGGTTGCGCCTGGCGCAGCGCGGCGGGAGCGTGCCGGGGGGCGCGGGAGGAAGGGGCCGGGGAGGGGGTGACAGGAGCGCCGGGGGCCGGGGGCCCGGCCGGGGTGCCCCGGTCAGAGCGCTGCCCGGGAGGGGAGCTCAGCCCTCCCTGGCTGCCGCCGGCCCCGCGCTCTTCCATCCCGGCGGGACCCGGCGCCAGGTGAGCGGCTTGTGCCGCGGCCGGGAGGAAGGCGCCAGCCTGGAGCGGGAGCTGCGGCTCGGTGCCCTCGGGCTGGTTCACGCCCGGGAGCAGAGGAGGAGAAGGAGGGAGGGAAAGGCGGCACCCAGAACCCACCCGCCGCGGGTGCCGGCCCGCGCCGGTGTCATCTGGCGCCAGCAGACGGCAAAGCGGAGGATGCGGCGGTTCGGATCGGAGTAGGGAGATCCCTATCCGGGCAGCGCCTCGCCTGCCCCGCCTGACCCCGAGGCTGAGGTGACGGCGTTGTAGCGCTGGCGGCCCCGGCTGGCGCTCACGCCGTGACCTTTCATCCTGTGCGGGCGTTCAGAGGGCAGCGGCCGGGGAGGGGGAGCTGGGGACGGGCCGGGGCCGATGGAAAGCGCCCCGGCTGAGCCGCGGCGTTACAGCGCTGCCCCGGGGGCCGATCTGGCGGGGCTCTTTCCCCTCTTCTTTTTTTTTTTTTTTTTTTTTTTCCCCCTTCCAGCAGCATTGTCCTTTAGGGCCTATTGAAGGCAAAAGGCGGATAGGAGGGCTAGGGCTGCTGCTGTTTGAGGAGGCGGAGCTGGGCTGATGGGAGACTGACGGGAGCCGCATCCTATGGGCGCCGGGAGCCGGGCGCCGCTGGGGCGGGACCGCCGGCCGCGGCCTCTCGCGGGCGATGGGCGGGGTGGGGGACAAGGTTTGGCGAAGGTTACAGCTGAATGCAGAAGTGACACAAACTGACACTTCGCTCCGGCAAACTCGTTTCCATCCTCTCCTCGTGTCGTCTCGATTAAAAGTATACACGCATTGAATCGTGTTATGAAACTTTGAGAAGAGCGAAAGTGCGGTGCTTTTTTTTTCCTGTCTTGTCTTTGTTTTAATTACTCATTGCAGTACCTGATACTGATCTGAAGGGTGAAAATAGTACGATTTGCTTGTCTTTCCTTTCAAATAAAACGCATTCCTGTATTCTGATGTTTTCTGTGTATAAGTGATTCGGTCTGTAATTTATAAGCTTGCGATCAGAGGCCTCTGTGATATGTGTTGTTGCATTTCTTCATTCACACCCTTTAAAATGTTTACAGTTTCTCTTGTACACAGTATATTTCTTCTGTGTTCTTGGAATGAAGTGGGAATTGCCAATTGACTTTGTCAAAAGTGAACTCGTGATGATTCAGTAGATAATTGTGTAAAACAAAGTACTTCACCGCAGTGCTTAAACCCTAGGTATTGCGAACTCCTCACAATCCATGTTAGTCTGTAACTGACGTTTTTCTTTATTATTTAAGACAAAAATATGCCTTACAAAAGTAAATGACATGGAACTTGATTGTTACTTGACATGTAACTGTACAGATTTTATTTTGTACTAATCCTCCATCTGCTGTTTCTTGTTAGTATGGATATGCTAAAATGGTAGTGTACAATCATTCTCTTCTAGTCAATAAAGAATATCACTAGGTATCCAAATCTTCTCTTTTCATCCTTGAGATATAAGAGGGGATGTAAGTGACTTGAATTAAATTAATAGTATGTTATATATTCCTAATGTTATTTATTTTCAAAGACTTGACAATTATAGGGGAAATCCTGAGACAGGCCATTAAAAGCCTCAGCAGTGTATATCCCCACCGTGTTCTGCTTGACATTGATATTAACACGTGTACAGTGACAGAATTGTATGTTTGGGGCACCATTGGGATTAAGACCCTTGGAGTCCACAGATTCTCTTAAATTTGGGTTGGGTATATGACCCTCCATGTTTTCTGCTCATGAGCAGTGGAAATGGAAGGAAAGAAAGGGTCAAAGAGATCTATATGTGACTCAGGAAGAAAAAATGGAGACCTTGAACTTCTTTTACCTTATTATGCCTGTTTCATAGGCATATTTCAGCATTCTCCACTGCTTTTGTTGTTGCTGCTATTTGTTATTCTTCCAAGTAAGAGAAATTCCATAGGGGTAAAATGATGTCAGCATTTTCCTTTGCTCATTTGCTGTGCATTCTAGCCTGAATAGGGTCAGAGGAAGATCTAGATACTATTCAAAACTTCATTATTTGTCCTTCTTGAGCATCTTGTTTCTAGGCAAACAGGGGGAATAAAGCAGCCAAGGGGTTGCACAGGTGAATTTCCTTGAAAGATTTTACTAGGTTTTAGCCATAGTTGTAGAGTCAGAATAGACACTTTATATACTTAGCTGGAATCCTAGCAAAATCATGTCTCAGTTTGCTGCTTCTTTAAGCAATAGCTAATAACTGAAAGTAACAATTTAGTACTATAGTAGGATAGGCAGCAATATCTGGTAAAGCAGAACGTGGTGAAGGCAGTAAGACTTAGAATTTCAGTAGAGTTGGAGAGGTAGCAGGAAATATTCCCATTATCTGTATTGCTAATAGAGCTTGGAATACAAATGATCTTGTGGAAGCTATTTAATACATTCTGTTTGTGTTAATTTGGAGTTTTTAGGATATTCTTCTGTCTCATGCAACAGAGATTGGAATCCTTCATTTTTGTCCACAAAAAGTGACAGGCTGGTTGGAAAATTTGTAAATGGGATTGCAGAAATTAGTTGTGTTGTCCATCCCCATAATCCAGCCCCAAGAATTTTTTCCAACTAAAGTCGATCATATGATACAAAAGAAAAAATTTCAAATGAGTATTTGTGTGCTTAGTTACATTTCAATACACAGACAAAAGGAAAATTGTCTGATTGGAAGGAAAATTATGGTTTTTTTGTTAATTTGGATACACTTTACCAGATTTTTCTAGACAGAAGTACCATATAACTGCAGGACTGTCAAAATGTTTTAGTAGAAAAAGATCTAGATGGGCTAGTTATAATATTTTTACTAAAAAGCATCTTGCTTTACTTTCCTGAAAGTTGGTCGTGTACATTTTAATGGATGTTCAGAGATTGAAAGTGTATTTTATTGGCCCACAGAGGTGGTTGGGGGTGGAGGGAAGGGTTGAGTAGCTTAAACATTCAGTACAAAGATTATTCTTTCACAGACATCTTACTAGCAGCTATTTCTGTAGCTTTATTGGAAGCTACTGAGTATTTTAAATTTTTAATTATCTACTTCCTTTATAATTTCATATGCAGGATGTTTGGACTACCTGCATAATACTACACATTGTTTGTTTTGTTTCTGCATCTAAATTCTGTTCATAACTTTGATACCAAAGAGGACATATGGAAAGTGTCTTTCCAAGAGATTTATTTCTGAGGCAGTAGTGTATAAATTTAAATAATGAAGTATTTAAATTCATTTTTCAATCTTGTGATATTACATGTAATATTTTAATTATATTAGTGTGGAGATATAAATTATATATTTAAATTCATTTTTTCAGTTCTGATATTACATGTAAGTTTAATTGTATCTTGCTAAGTCTGTGCTCAGGCTTGCTGTAGTCATTTTCATTTTACTGTAATTTGGGGAATGTTTAAATTTCTGAGTTTTGCTTTATTGATGAAGAAATGTCAAATATGCAGTCCATACTAGTGTTAATTGTGTCTGTAACTTTCTAGGCCTTTAGAAAGGATTGCATGTGAAAATTTATACTCTGTGCAAAAAGGTTTGTTAATAAATAAAAATAAATTGTAACAGGGATGAAATTTGAATAATTTTGTGGAGTTTTTATGGCTTTTAAAAATCTTTCTCTAGTTAGTATTAAATTTACCAAAGGAGCAAGGTCTGCTGTATAGAGTACTTGGCTGGGATTGAGAAAAGAGACCTGCATGAAGTTTTCTTCTATCAGCTGTACCTCTGAGTGAATTCCAGTGAAATTTCATTTTCATGTGCTTGTGTTTAAGGTGCTGTATGGAAAGGAGTAGCTGTTATCCCTTTTGTTGGTTGTTAAATTGTGTGAGTTTGTGTTTATGGTTTGGTTAGATGGACTAGTTTGGTTGTAGAAGAATTCTGAAAGGAGACATGATTGCCTTGCCGGTGAGATTTTGCATATATAGACTGGGAAGATAGTACAGAGAGAAGGAGAGATAAGGGAGTAAGAGACTGGGGGTAGCTGAAGGCCAGAAAAAATAAAGCAACCTGACATAAGATGGTACAGCTTCAACATCAGAGCAGCAGAGCAGAGTTGCAAGATCCATATCCTCTGCAGGGTTATTCCAGGTAGTGTTAGCATAGTCAGGGCTTGGATTGAGATGATAATCATCAACAGTAAAATGGGAAAACATGCCAAAACATACAGATTGATTAAAGAAGTTATTTTGTTAATTTAGCATGTGTCATATGTATTTTTTAAGAAAGCAGTGTGTTTTATTAGCCTAAAGGAAAAGGTCTGCTTGAAGAATCACTGATGAAGAAATCAGTAATGCCTATTGCTGCCACTGGATGAATAATTAATTCTCACTAGATCCTTGTGACACTGTAATGTGTTATTATGAACTTGAACCAAAATTGAAGACTGTGGCTGAGTGGATGTGCAACTTTAAAACATTGCCTTGTATTTAGGACACTGGAATGTCCTGAAAGAAATGGAGCCAGCTTCCATTTCTTTTGTTGGGTTCATATCTTTACTTTTTAAGGTACAGGAAAAGCTTTTACTGTTTCATGATATTTGATTCTGCTCTCTGAAGACTTTGAACTAATTACTGCTACCAATTATCTAAGGCTACTGTTCAGTGAATTCCTCTTCTAGTTCTGTTTTCTGAGGTAGAAGTTCAATCCACTGCGTATTCAAGTCTTGCATTTGACAGTGAAACTGAATTACCTTTAGTAATTTTTGTTTTATTGATGTTTTTATAGCAGTTTTGATGGAAGTCATGTTGAATTGTGTGAGGTGACACAAAAGTTTTAAAATGCCTCTATAAGTTCAGATATTAGTGTATCATAAGTAGATGATTTTTTCATCAGCCACTCTGAACTGAATATCTTACTGACTTCTGAGAAACCTCCAAGTTCCAGTTTTTAGTAACTTTGTTCTTGAATTGTGAAAGAAATGCCTTGGTTAACAGTACAGTAACTTCCTTGAAGAGAATTAATGTAATGCTGACCTGCTGTTTTTGTAAGAGGTTTTCTGGTTGCAGTTTAGTAAAATGACCTTTTCGTCTGTCATTTGAAGTATTAAGCAGCAAATGTATTATTTTAAGAGCAATATTAAATTGTCCTACTTAGTAATTTTTTTAAATAAGTAGTGTTTTTAAACAACATACTTAATCATAAAAGTGGAGATATGGTAACAAATATCATCACTGTTTTTTATGGAAAAAGACAGCCTGGCAGCCTTGCAACATAAACTGAACAATAAATGCCTATGCAAATTTGTGTAAATGCTAAAATATAAATTATTTAATGTTGACTTGCTGTTCTCTTCAAAATTGCAAAGTATCCTACTTCGAATCTCAATTTCATAAATAGAAGTTCATTTACTAATATTTTGGGATAAAAATCAGAGGTGGTAGAGAGGCAGGGGAAAAGTATTTGAAACAATTTCCTTTGTAGGTCTACCATATTTTATGTGCTGTAAATTCAGTATCTTCTCTGCTGGTTAAGTTGTAGAGCTTGCAAATTCAACTTGTCAGAACTCTTTGTGTTTACTGAGCCTCCTGTGGCTGACACATCCTGTAAGTTTTTACACTCTTATTAATGAAAACGTCTATATATGATGTCCAACTGAATTTAGAGAAACTTTTTTATATTAAAATAACTGTTGAAAAGGCTGGATAGTTAGGTGAAGTTATATTTTTTCTCAAACTCTTTATGAGGCTATTTAAAGCTTTTCAGCAAAATAGTAATTAACTCCCTGAGCTGCAGACCAAGTACAGAAAACATCAATAGTAAGTATTCAGGAAAGACCTTCATACAAATTAAAGAAATTAATAAACCAGAGTAAAGTATACAGGGTGGTCTTTAATGAGTTAGCTGTTTATATACAGATGATTATTAACCTTGCAAGTATAAATAGCAGGACAAATATCGTAGCTTTTAAATGAACACTGATGGTTGGATCTTTGGCATTCATAATTCATTCTCCTTTTCCTTGCCTGACTGAAAGATGCAGTGTGTGCCTGAGAGTAAATTGTATATTAATTGAAATAAATCCTGTATGATTGCACTACAAGAGTGGCCACTGGATTCTGGCTGATATGAAGAGCGCTGAATATTTTATCAGGGTGGTCCCAGTGGTGGCCTGGAGGATGATTCCACCTGGTGGCTGCCTGTGCCTGGGAGGAGTCTGCAGCACATGTTGGGGTACGTGGGTGGGTGCCTGTGTCTGCAAACTGAGGTGCTCAGAACTGGGGTCACGTCTGTTTTCATGCATACATGTGTAACTTGGTGCATGGGCCTCCAAGCATGAGCATCCCACTTGGGAGTGGAGTTCAAATACAGGCAAGTACCTGTTGGTAGCAGATAGTTTGAACTGCTCTAAAAGTTAAGTAAATAAAGGACATCAGGAGGGCAGGAAAGAAAATGATCAAATAGTCAAGAGCATATGTCTAGTCTTTCCATTACTTGACTGCATCCTGTATTGTGTTTTAAAAACATATATTCCTGCATATTTTCTAGGTGATACTAAGGCTAGTAAATGTAGTGAGAAACAAGTAGTAGAAAGCTTACAGAGTTTATCTGCCAAAAATCCTGAAGATAAATGCCTTGGTGAACTCAAAATATGTGCATCTGTGTGATCACAGTTCTATTTGGTTCTGTTGTCTGTTAACTCCATTAATGTTGCCCTAAATCTGAGGAAGTGTTATTGAAGTACGATGATGGTAATCAATGATGTGTAGTCTGTTGCTTGTGTACATAGTAAAAGGTACTGCTTTTGATAAATATTGTCCATGTGAAGATTCTCATGGGACTGAAGAGAAAAGACTGTAGCTATCTCCTCCTTGAAGTTGCATCTTGAAAAGTATTTCTCCCCAGAATTTCTCAGGTCCAGTAGCAGCCCATCCAGGCAATCCCTCTGTAACAAACTGAGGTAAACAAGGGAGAACAAGATGTGTGTCTCTGGCATTGCCCTGGTGCACTGTTAAGATCTGCAAGTTTGAACTGAAAAACTTCAGTCATACAACTGTCTTCAGTGGTAAAAGAAATGTTGCAGAAAGGTCTGAAAGCTGATGTGGTACTGAAATTACACTGATGGTTGGGGGGTGAAGTGTGAAGTGAGGCAACTTCTCAGTGTTTGAGGTCTGCACATGCTGCCTTCTGCACTACCACACATTCTCTTGGGTTCTCCACACTTGGGTAATCCATCCTATTCTCAGTTAGTTACAGAGCAACACCTGCCTCTCTCCCAGCAAATCTGAAGGAACCAGTAATTTCTTTATCACCAGGCTACCATTTGAGACTGCGTCTGCTGGATGTTACAAGTACAGGGTGTGGTTGCATGGGTGCCTAGTGAATGTCTGTAAAAATATTGGAAGTAAATATCATACCTATTAAAGTACCTGAATTG